TGCCCAGGAGTGCAAGGTGAGGGGTTATGAGTGTGCTGAAGAGGTGGACATAGGAGCAGGACGCTCTTGGGGACCAAGGGGTCCTCTCCCCCAGGGTTCACCCACGAGCAGGGCCTTAGGGGAGGGTAGGAAACAGAGGCGTAGGATTTCTCCCCAACACAATCCCTCTGCAAAACTCCATCAATGGCTCTGTCCTCTGGGGTGCGGGTCCCTTGTCACGGTCAGCTCTGCTAAAGATCAGTAGGAAAGGAGAAAAAGAGATCCTCAGCCCTTCTCCCACCCCACAGCTCCCTGGAAGAGTTTTGGTCTTTGTCAAAATACTAAAAGAAAAGGTAAAGAAAGAGGTTAATTTCCTCGGAACAGTCATGGGGGTCCCAAAACTCAGCCAACACTTACCCCAAGAGCCACCAAGAGTTCCCCGGTGCTTCTGCTGAGGCTGCCAGACCACGATGCCATTCCACAGGGGACTTCTTTCTTTCTTTCCTCTCAGAAACAAATTCACACCCAACTGCACCTTCTGAAATCAAAGCAAGAGGAGCTTCAATCTTCCGTGAAGGACAGAGAAGACAGACTCAAGGACCACACTGTAGGTGCCCATCAGTTTTCCTGAGCAGAGGGTGGGGGAAGAAAGGAGGAACATCTCCTCCTCCTCCTTCTCTCCCGCAGGGGTGGGTGATGCTCAAGGGCTGTGGGGAAGGGAGAGGGGGTTTGTATCTTCCCCAGATGCCTCTTCTTGGTGGCTCCCACTAAGGCATGGCCCACCCTTGACCCTTGATGCTCTTCTCCTGCTCTCTTCATCTTTTTCTCCACTTGGGCTTGCCCTTGGCAGGAGAGGACAGAAGCTGCAAAGCAGGAGATTGTGAGGACATATAGGAAGATGCATGAGTTCCTGGAGAAGCAGGAATCCTCTCTTCTGGCCCAGCTGGAGCAGCTGGACACAGAGATAAGGAAAGCCCATGAAGAAATCCTCCAGAGGCTTTTGGAGGAGACAACGAGGCTGGGCACGCTGATTGGGGAGATGGAGAGGACGTACCAGCAGCCAGACTGGCAGCTCCTGAAGGTGAGAGCCCAGGCTTTCCAAACTGGCTGGGAAGGCCCACCTTGAGCTTGGTCTCCAGCCCTCGCTTGTCTCCCCCAACCTGCTCCAAGAGGGACTTCCTTCGAGTGGGACCCCGGTACTCCAAGGGGAGGTGTTCCATCTCACTGAGTCTCTTTTTGTCTCTCCACCAGGACATCAGAACCACCTTGAGCAGGTCTGTGGTCCTTCTCCTGTCACCATGTCACCACCACAGAGCAGCTCTGTGGCAGCACTCAGGGAGTAAGCATGTAGAAAGCCTCTCTCTCCTGATCTATTGATGAATTCAGACATGGGCTGGCAGGAGGCAGGAGCAGGGAGTGCTGCAAAAATACGGAGCAGTAAACTCCAACCAGGTGTAAATCCATCCCCTCTTCCCTTCCAGGGGCCAGAGGGAAACGCTCTCCCACTCACTCCAGATTTCCCCTCAGCTGGAAAAGAAATTCTCTGATTTCACCAAGAAGAACCCAGACATCAAGGAAATTCTGGAGAAATTCCGAGGTACCAAGGGCAGGTCCAGAAAGGGCAATGCCATCGTGCTTCTTGGTGGGGAGGGATGGAGTGAAGCCAGGGGAAAGAAAGGCATCCTGGGTGCTGAATGAGGGGTTATTTCTTTCAAGATCCCACAAGGAGACAGAGAACGAGCAGCGAGCGTTGGTCTGATGTTCCCTGCCTGTCCTCCTCCTCTTCTCCTCTGCCTCCTCAAGTTTGTCAGCATTCCCCCAAGCCTGTTCCTGACTCTCGGGACTTTTGCAGAAACCCACAATCAGACCAACTGATCTTTCTGCCTCTCATGTTTTTCTTTTCTTTCTAGATTTCCTGGAGTTTGAGGTTCCTTTGACAAGTAAGTGATCCCAACACGTGCCCAACCATTAGATTGACCTCAAGTGCTCTGCTGCCTCCTTTCCCCCTTCTCCCATCCTGGTCCTATCACCAGGCGATGCCTGGAGGGGTCCCAACCGGGTCAGAGTGGTGGGAAGTGACAGAAAAAGCCCTGTTTCCTCCCAAATCTGCTGCCATGAGCCTGACTCTCTCTCCACCTCCAGCTCAGATGACGCTGGACCCAGAGACGGCCAACACCAGGCTTTATCTGTCGAAAAACTGCAAGCTCATGCGGTGGGATATCTGTGAGCAGGACCTGCCCTCCAACCCAAAAAGGTTCAAATTCAAGCCCTGTGTGCTGGGCTCGAGGGGCTTCACATCGGGGTGGCACCGCTGGGAAGTGGAGGTCCACGGACAAGGCAGATGGGCCATTGGCGTGGCCATTGAGTCGGTTCCGAGGAACCTTTTGTATTTCCTGAAGCCCAATGAGGGGATATGGGCTCTGTGGCATCTCCTAAATGACTACAAGGCTCTGACCTCTCCTGCTCGCAC